ATCGTAAGTCTTCGGCTTGTAGTCGTCATAAGTCTTCGGCTTGTAGTCGGACTTGTAGTCGTCGTACGGCTTATAGTCGGACGGCTTGTAGACTGACGGCTTGTAGTCGGAAGGATAAGGCTTGTATGGGTCGGTCGTCTTATAGCTATCGTAGGACTTGTAACTTACATAGGACTTATAACCGTCGGTAGGCTTGTAGTCTGACGGCTTGTAGTCTGACGGCTTATAGACTGACGGCTTATAGTCGGACGGGTAAGGCTTGTATGGATCGGTTGTCTTGTAGCTGTCATAGGTTGTCTTGTAGCTGTCATAGGACTTGTAGTCGTCATACGGCTTATAGTCTGACGGCTTGTAGACTGAAGGCTTGTAGTCGTCGGACGGCTTGTAGACCGACGGCTTGTAGTCGGACGGGTAAGGCTTGTATGGATCGGTTGTCTTGTAGCTGTCATAGGACTTGTAGTCGTCATACGGCTTGTAGTCTGACGGCTTGTAGACTGAAGGCTTGTAGTCGGACTTGTAGTCGGACGGCTTGTAGACTGACGGCTTGTAGTCGGAAGGATAAGGCTTGTATGGATCGGTTGTCTTGTAGCTATCATAGGACTTGTAGTCGTCATACGGCTTATAGTCGGACGGCTTGTAGTCTGACGGCTTGTAGACTGAAGGCTTGTAGTCGGACTTGTAGTCGTCGTACGGCTTGTAGTCGGACGGTTTATAGTCGGACGGCTTGTAGACTGACGGCTTGTAGTCGGACGGATAAGGCTTGTATGGATCGGTTGTCTTGTAGCTGTCATAGGACTTGTAGTCGTCGGTACGGCTTGTAGTCTGACGGCTTGTAGACTGAAGGCTTGTAGTCGGACTTGTAGTCGTCGTACGGCTTGTAGTCTGACGGCTTATAGTCGGACGGCTTGTAGACTGACGGCTTGTAGTCGGACGGATAAGGCTTGTACGGATCGGTTGTCTTGTAGCTGTCATACGGCTTATAGTCGTCGGTGTATGGCTTGTAATCGTCGTCGTATGACTTGTAATCGTCTTTTGGCTTGTACGGGTCGGTGGTGTAAGGCTTGTATGGAGTCGTGGTGTATGGGGGCTTGTATGAACTGGTGTACTTCGGAGGAGTTGTCGTGTAATGTTTGTAGGGGTTGGTGGTATAACTCGGGGGATGGTAGTTAGAATCCGTGTACTGGCTCGCGGTGGGGTTGTAAACCGAGGGGTAATATTCGGTTTCCACGCAAGTGGAATAGTCTACCACACACAATCAGTATAAACCTTGGACCCTTTGGAGCTCTATCAAACATACAAGAGTTTATTTGGACGCAAGTGAACTTGGGTGGGCAGGCGGTTTCACCAGCATACCCAGTCCCTCCGCATTGTTCATAGGGCTCGACAGCGGCAGTCGCACCCCCAACGAGGGCGAGCACGCCGAGCGCACCCAACGAGCGCGATCTCATGATGGTGGGTCGTATCTTGTATAGCAGATGTCGTCCGACCAGAGGCAAAGCGAATGCTGCTGTGAGGAAGGGGGGGGGGGGGGCGGTGAAGAAGGAATTGAGGACGGAAATGCTCCAGTATTTGTAGACCCGGTGCTCTAGTAGGATTTCCCGGATCGAATATTCTCTGTACCACACATGTCTGTGGGGTTATTTGCTTGCAACTTGCAGGAACCCGAATTGGAAGGAACTCTCTGTGGAACGGTACCAGCGAAGAGGCTATGCTAGCACTAGAGCATCTCCCTCTGTAAGACCATAGTGCTGAGCTTTCACTGACGATGCATCTTGTCGATGTTCAGCTTCCGCCCGCACCCCCTACCAATAGAATTAACACGCGACCAGGGATCCCACACCTCCGGGATGGTTCATTCATGATATCGATAGGGCGGAAGAGGAGAATCTGAATCATCATTGCCAGCCCAACGAGGTGTCTCACCTCCCCTCCTCCAGCATAATTACCGTAAGTACGAGTAGAGGACAAGGCGGTGTAAATTGGGGTAAGAACTTGGATAAACTAGTCCTGTGCCAGGACGTCGGAGATGCCACTCTAGTAAGCCATGGTGTTTTTTTCCTTTCCTTTCTTTTTCTTGTTTGTCTCGTAAGGCAAGTTTCTTCGGTGCGTTTTTTTTTGCCCCTTTTCCAGAGGAGGAAATTTCGGACTACCCAGCACTGGACAGGGTAGGCCCATCGGTATTAGCTTTCGTCCCCGTTTTAGGCCGAGCCCAACGCAAGCAAGGGGAAAAATAGGGAAAGAAAAGTACCGGTAGCATCAACGGACATGTGCTTAAGTTTTGTGGCCTCAGGATATTGAACCACGGTAAGGAGCCCGATTCAGAAACGAGCGGCCATAGAAGCCAACAAACTTACGAGTGGAGGAGAGGTAAACAAAGGATCGTTGGGGTTGCCTTTTTCGTGTGCGGGTTGGCTCATGCCGGGTATGGATGTACTTTAGAGTACGGTACACCACAGTCAGGGATGTCTTTTACCCCCCCGTGGTACGACCATGACACTACCGGCACATCGGTACCACAGGAGCTTTTGCCCTACGTACACAACAGAATTCTTCCGCCCTCCAATTTACATTATGATACCTCAACACCCCTAACCATGTATGATTACCGGTAGTACTCGTACAAGTAGTACTCGAGTACACAGTGAAATTCTGCATTGTACCTTATGCGTTACTCAAGCACGGGAAAATGCGATGATGTACTGTATCTCGGTCAAAGAGGCAACCCCTCTCCCACACGGCCACGCCCCGAGTGCATTTGGGGCGTGATCCGATCATTTCCTTACGGGCGTCTCCTAGCAAATTGCTGGTCGATCGGGAATGCTTCGCTCTTTACTGGACGAACGCCTGATGTCATCGCTTTCTTCCAATTCCCGTGACACGTATCTGGGCTTCAAGGGTCACATTCGAATTTCTAATCTTAGCTTCCCACCATGGTGCCGAGGACAGAAATAGGATCTAGAGAGCTCAAGGTGAAATCTGCACAACGCAGGCTAGTTGCACAAAAAATGATTCCGCTACCCTTCCCTCCGAATCAGCCCAACGTTGAAATAAGCATGTTCGGGACTGAGGCAGTGCCATAGTCTCTCTGTCGGGAATTTCTCTCATCTCCCCGGTTCGGCATACCGGTACTTGTTGTACAGTGCAAGGATACCGCAGAATAGTACCGGGGTGGGTTGTCTCTCCCTCTCGCCGCCGATCTTTCCTGCCCTTGCCCATTTGGTACCATCCTGGCCAAAGTGCAAAAAGACCCGTGGATCTAAGAAATTTCTAGGCGATGAGAGTTATTTATAGGATGCGTTGCTAAAATAAAAGAAACGTGCAAATGATCCGGGGACGGGTTGTTTAGTTCAGCCGCAACTTACTGTAACTGGTCAACCTTTCAAGTCCATTATGTTGCTGGCTGATTGGCCCCAGCCGTGAAAAAGAAGCTTTCGTGGAGGAGGCGCAGTGTCCTATCGATAACGGAAAAACCCCCCTCCCCCCACAAATGCGCCCGGACAAGCCGGAGGTATGGCAACGGTACCCCACCGTGCCATGCGGCACCAGATATCGAGAAACACAGTACTTTACTCAAATGCCACACATTCCCGAGTGATCACGCCAGACAGGCTTAGATCCTGACAACCGAAGTACTTGTACGCTCAGCCGGCCAATCCAGGTTCTTGTTCCCCGGAAAGAACAACCTTGTTGGCCCAGCCCATTCGTGGAAAGGTCCGAAAATAGGTTATTCCCAACCTACGGGATCGCAAACCCCTCACTTTGTTCTGTGGAGCACCCTGCCCACAGCCTCTTACGGGTCAGATCTGACCGTCGGCACTCTTGATAACATAACAGAAATCAAGAGCAGAAATACCCAGAAAAGATACATAGACACGGCCAACAAACCTCACTTTCTGTCTGCCTGATAAGCCATGACCCTTCAGGCCAATAGCGATTACATTGGGCTTAAAAAAGTAACACAGAACTGAATTTCCGGATTGGTATAGAATGTAGCAATTAATTGGCCCTTTTCCTCCACGGCTGACTGGGTATTAGCTGAGGCTCGTCAACAACCATACCGGCAGCCTACTCGAATAGGATCAAGACTCATCCCACCGCGGAGGGCCCCGTCCCGCACGTCCAATGTCAGGGAGACGTATTCGTGATTGCCGTATCGGCTTCCAACTTCCCCGGCCAGGATACTTACTCAATCCCAGTCAAGCTAGTTTTTTGCATTTCTATGCAAGGAGCGAGGCAAAATTGCATTTTATCTCAGCCCAGGGCACCCGCTACTTCTAATAGGTGGAGCAGACGATGTACAAATCTCAGCTCCCCATTCCCACCATAGCCAGTAAACACACGCTGAGGTGGTGGGCGGGGGGGGATACACTTCACAAAGTCTCAGGTCTATACTACACACGTTATACAAGCTAGTACCGATTAATCACTCGGGAGCCTATGGGTGCGCATGCGGCTATGCATGCTTTTCGGTATCATCCGACGGTAACAGCAAGGTGAGCAGCTCCCAAGCGAAACGGGGTGTGGGATACTTCGAAATCCAACAAGTACCGTACAGTATTCGCAGCAGGGAGGATCGCGGTACCCTGTTTGGGCCCGCGAGACCGGAGTGCACCCATGCGATCCTTCGCGATATGTGTTTGTTTTTCCTTATCGCAAACACATATCCACTTTAATCCATTTGAGATCCGCCCAGACGCATGCGTGCCACGAAGGTATTGAACTAAAAATAAGAGCCCTCGTGAGCGTCTCAACTATTACTCGTCCAGAGAGGTCCGGCTGAAGGTGAGAACCTCACTGCAGATGGGAGCGATCCGATCGGATAACCTGAGGTGCGTGGATCATATTATGGAGCCCCTATTCCTCCTTCCTGCTCTGCCCTTTCCTATTGGAGCTAATTTGCACTTTCGTACGTTACATCGATAGCGTAATATTGAGTCATAAGAAATCACTCGGACCCACCACACTGCTGACCTCAAGCGTCCGGCTGGCAGGTAGCGTGACAACAACACATTGCAAAAGGCCAGCTAGCAAGGGCTTATTTAGGTTTTATTTTTGATGTGGTGCCTACTTCTTTGTTCCGTCAACACTAGAGTAGTACAGAAGGCAAGATCGGGCCCGCTATTTAAGTCTGATCGACAATAAAGCTGGAGGAGACCCGAATTCCACGTCTTGCGCTAAATCAGATATATATTTTTCTGCATGGCCCCATTTCCAACACCTGAGTGGGTTCAACGATGGTGTAAGTTAGTATGCATCTCTTAGTTAGGTGGGTGGGGGGGGTAAAAAAAAACTACGTTCTTTGTGCAGCCCCGGAGAGACCCGGGAAGCCGACTCCCACGCTTGGAAAGGCGGTTGCACCGTTTCGCTAGCTGAGCCTACCGGTAGTCATTTCCACTATTCTGAGTGGCAAGACCTTTGCGCAGTACACCTGTCCAAGTCAGAGGGAAATGTGCGTTAGTGGAATCTCCCGATTTTTATGCCCCAATAATGGAGGATAGCCGGAGCCTTCTGCTGCACCACTGTTCTCAAACCCTACACCGAGGTGGGTTAAGGCCTACCTCGTCACCTGTTGGGATGGTTGCCTCAGACATATTGTCAATCACGGTGGTATCATACTCCCCCTAGTCTTTCTTGGAAGGACCACCCTCACCATACTACGCTCACACGACCTAGAGCACAAACGCAATATTCCTTCTAACGTAGGCATCAGCTTTTCAGTGTCTCTTTGCTTGGGAATATCTGCCGCTTTTGAACCGTGTTCCCGATCAAAGCTCCTCTCCGTACCTATGCAAATTTACGTCTCAGAGAAGAATGACGCAGAGAGGAAAACATCGTGAAGGCCGAGTTCTGGATACCTACAAGAACTCTCTCGGGCACAGATTACCGCCCAAATAACCTAGAATTCATGGAAATCTCACCAAACCTAGCAGGTCACTAGTGGCAGAAGTACGGATTTCAAGAATCGTTGGTGCTGTCGTCCCGAAACCGTGGTGGAACTAGAACGAATACAAAACCTTCCCTCCAACACCAAGACCATTCTTCCCGTGCCCGCGGGGTATCGAGTCCCCGATGCACTTGAAAGCTCCCGGAGATCCTAGCCAACTCAATGCGGACTCGCTCCCGAGGACTTGCCCCCAGATGAAATCCCTTCCCCGGTTAACGGGCCCGCCGTGCTTCCTCTCGAGCACCCTTGGAACTTGTAAATATTGGGGAGAACCCTCGAACATCTCAATAGTTCAAAGGCCGCCCCAAAGATAGCCACTGTTACTAAACACAAATTTCTGTCGTTACGTACCCACCCTGGGAAAACCTTTCAATGTCCCGACCGATATGAATCGAATTCCGAGTGATCCCACATGATGTTTCAAGCCCCACAGCCCACTTCCCAAGCCTCAAATCATATAGCCAAAAATACCCATGGAAGATCAAACCTGCATAAAAACAAACAAACACGGGAGACAACCCAAACCCATTCCCCAACTTTTTCAGGACTCAGCCCTCCCTCATGTTAGCCAAGCCTTTCAAAATCCAATGAAAACTCCCCACGCTAGGACAGGGAACGGGTTGTACTCGTACAATATCCCCCCCCTCCCCCCTCTCTCCCAAGATCCCTGAGAGTAGTGGGTTGGCTGTGCAGATTAGCCTATATTAATCCCATTCCCAACCCGGAAACCCTCACGCGGCGTTCCGGGCTAGGATCACTATGACATCAAAGGGTACCCCTGGTACTCGTACTGGGGATCCGAGAGTGTGATCTTTACCACCCGACTGTGGCGAAGGGGGGAGGGTGTGTGTGGCGCACAAGATATGAGAGTATTGTGGCGGTTAGGCTCGACCTGCTTTAAAGCGGCGATTATAATTAGGTGAATGTGTTGGAATGCCCATCGCCGGGGACGCGAACTTTGAGGGCCCTCACTCCCCCGGTGAGTATATGACAGCGCTATGCGGGGCGAGTAAAGCTTAGTGTACCGGTATAGTAAGGCAGGTCACATTATCCTTTCGCTAGAGGACCGGGAGCAAAAGGATCTCGTACGAGTACGGTAGAGTACAGTACAACACCACAATTGCGCCGCATCGAGTACAGTGCTGTATGGCACACGTAATCCAACCCCCCCACCCCCCAACCCCCCCAACCCCTACTCCCTCATTAGAATGTCCTCGAAGGGAAGAATGTAAACTTTATCCCCGGCCTTCGTGAGTTTCTGCCTTTTTGGTAGCATACTTCCCACCAGTCGAGCGTGCATTACCGGTTATGTTAGTGTCTGACCGGGTCTCGCGTTCCCACGGCTATCGGCGTCTACGAGCGCAAAGGCTGCAAGAACTGCGACAGTGACAGTGACGGCACGCTACAGTACAAGCGGGTCTCGAGAAGAGTGAGTGAGCACGCGCGATTTTACCGCAAAAACAGCAGATCTCACGCCAGGGTATTCCACTGGAGAAGGTTCACTAAAATATAAACTATCCATAGAACCGCTGAAAATAGTAATGATATCATTTTCTATATCGGTACCGGCGTGCAGATTTCCACCCAATTCCTAAGTTGACTCTACAAGAGTAATTATCATTGCGGTTGAACTCTCGGATTGCGCCGGGACACCATTTTTCCACCAAAAAAGTCTTGGCACAAATTTGGGGAAAAGTTTCTGCTTCCTGTACCGGTAGCTACTACTCTTCAGGGAATCTAGGTTCGTCTAAGGTTACAATTGGAGTCAAGTGCGGTAGTCTACACACCTCTTCGGAATATTCTACGAGGTTATCCCATTTTTAGCACAAGTATTGGTGCTGGAATGGGCCCTCGGAGTTGGCTATTTTTGGTTTAAATCACAGTGGGAGCACTGTGCCTGCCTCAGCCCTCCACCATCCCGTAGAGCCTTGGACTAGGGAGCCAGGGGTGCTCCGAGAGGCGAGCCGGATGCAGATTAAGAGAGGCACAGGCTGCGCGGTACAGACAGCCCCGTCCCTTTCTCGCCAGCCCAGGGGCCGAAGGAGCTACATGCAGAGGGAATAGGTCCGAGGGCAGGATGTGGCTCCGGTGTGAGGTACTGTAGTGGTGGGTAGGGCGGACGGGATGGGATGGGTGCGGGGCGGGGCGTGGGTGGGCCGGGTGGTGCGGGGTGGAGCGCTACTCGAGTACAGAAACCGGTGTTTTTTTTAATTTTTTTATCATGATAATATTATTATTATAATGACATTGTCATACCTGCCCAATTTGCCAAGAATCCATCCGTCGACCGGGTCATTGGCGGTATCAATGCCAATTGGGCAACCAGAGAGAGTGACAGCCGAGACGTCGTAGTGACCTGATTAGATTGCTATGTTATACAGGTTATCATACTCGTACTTGTACTCATATGCCGGATAGCGACGCCCACAGGAACAGAGTATGATTGATAATCACCAATTGCCGAGCTTTCGCGATAAATTACCATTTCTCGAGGTTTTGGTCCAGGTAGTGGAAGCCACTGCACTAGCCTTACCACAACCTCTGGCGCCTATCGCAGTCTGGGTCGCGAGTGTCGTACCGTACCACCGTAGAGTTACCCTCCGTACCACCAAGAGTCCAGCACCCAGAGATTACGGAGGCATTCTTGGCGAGGGTGCGGAGCCAGACTCGGATTTTGCGCCGATTCCCCGTTGATGTGCCCCATGACTTATCCTGCATCCAATACCGTACCGCATGGAACGAATCTTGAACCAGGACTGCATGGGCGTTGTCCGTGTGAGGATTACGAGCTTTCCCCATGAGTGGGCCTGACGGGAGGACCGTACAGCAGAAGGGCTGTTTAGTGCACAGTCACTTGAGATGATCGTCATCTATCAGCCTAGCTAACAGGACGCGTTTGGGAAAAAATAGAAAATGCCAAGCTTCCAGCTCGATATCATTCGTTTCCCACACCCCGGTATCGGAGGGCATTATAATATTGTGTGCTTCGGCATGACAGCGACACCTCTCAATGCAAACACGGTGCGCCAAACAGCCCCTAACTCCCTGCCACGTGTGGAGGAGCACGACAGGGTGAGTGAGCATGTGCTTGTAGGCAACCGGTGTCCTGGGAGTCCGTAACCGTGTTACCTCGTTTTTCACGAGCTTTCTCTCGTCCCCGATTAGCGGACCCGCACCGTAGAGGCTAGGCAACGTTGGGGGGTGAGATTGGGTGCTTAAACCCGGCTTCGCGCCGCGCTTCCTTGAAATCTCCGAACCGCCTGCTGCCCGTATTTCTTACTTTGTTACCGGTATGCACAATGCGAACCCTACTGGCAATTCTTGGTTCGTTTGAGAAATCCTGGAGTCTTGAGAGGTACCGTTTACTGACTGTTCTTGTGCTTTTCAGCTGTTCTGTCCGCTCTCTCCCCACTGCTTACAATCGTTATGCGTGGTTTGGTGCAGTACGTGGTTTGGTGGGCTCTGGGCTCGTGATCCCGATGGTTCGTCCCGCCCCATACAAGGATACCGGCTGCCGGTAATATAAATCTATTGGATTGGACCACATATCGAGCCTGCGGGCAGTGAACACCTTGCCGTTGAGCTGTGATAGCTCGTTGCGGGGGCGATCAGCGAGATATCCTCCTAGACGCGATTGCCGCGGAGAAGCACTGCCAGGGTTACCTAAAACTCTGCACTCCCGGCACGTTGAGCCCTACCGCGAAAGGGAGCCCGCTCTGATTCCAGTGGGCAGTTTTCCCTTCTCGGAATCATGGTGGTGGTATTTGTGGCAGTTGAGCTAGCTTTTCCATTACGCTCTGGTGTGGTATTTCGGATACGGGGCGCTCAATTTCCTAGAGTGTGTTTCTTGTAGCCTCATAAATACTTGTCTCCTATTTTTGCTTTCAAGCTGTGGACCAATGTCGGAAATCGGTGGTAACCGCACCGCATGCTCTAGAAACGGCCGGGAGTCTTTTGGGGGTGCAGACGAGGTCCGCTATACCCGAGTACCTCCCGAATGGTGAGGATCCCACGCCGGCAATATCTCCTGGTCGGTGAGAGGTTTTTGTTAGTTATTCAATATCTAATTTGTACTCGTAGCTAACTACCGGTGCAGGTGAACCGACGGACCGGCATACACCGTCTGCGGCATTACGTCAGATACCAGCGGTTTGGGCGTTTACAAGTACTCGTATCATGCCGAGCAAGCACGGCAATACTTGAACATTCGCCTATCAAATTAGTATGTTCTCTCGGACACGCATAGGTAATCTGCCATACAAATTTTAATCCCTGTGGTTAGGTACTTCTTACTAGTAATTCGTAGCGATATCGGACGGGAAAGGGGTTTTCATCCGCTAGTGTCTGGGGCGGAAAAGGGTCTCACTCAACGGAGGGATTGGTACCCTGAAGCGAAGTGGTTACAAGTCTAGGATTTCATTTCCCTCCCTTGTCTGTGTCAGAACGCGCCGGAGGAGTCCTCTCGACTGTTTCTCTTTGCACTTCATCAGCCTCTCACTCTGTCACTGTCTCTACTCCATTCCAGATCACCGTCTCTCACTCCATGAGTCTTACATTCGGCACGGCCTGGGGTGTTGTCTCCGGAACCATACCTTGTTGCATCCTGTGCAAAACACTACACATTACTAGCACACTATTCGAGATACTGTGGAGCGAAGACGATATCCCCCTGGTCCGGGCCTGGCCGGCAAAGAAAGATTTTGGTGAAGTCGAGCGCCAAGGGGGCTCCTGGAGCAACAGAAACAGGGCCGAGAATGGCAGGTCCACTGGGCGCGGGTTCGACGATTCCGATCTCTTGGGATTTTGCTGGTCTGGCTCCATGAGCACATGAGCACAGAAGCTGCAGCTAGTGATTTGCGGGTTCGAACCCGTTCGATATGGTGTCCATCTGCCATTTGTTCTGGATGGATGGTTCTATCCGCTTTTTTGACGGAAAAGACCAGAACGATTTTTGCCTCTCCAATGGAGTTATCCAGCCACCGGCGAGAATCCACCGCCAGGCGACTAAGGGATCCTGGAGCACCACATTCGAAGACCAGGGTTGGCCAATGGGTTCCGAGAGGGCGAGACTCAGGTTTGAATGCTGTGTCCGCTTCTTTTTGGCTCGCTACGCCTTGAAAGGTTTCACTTCGTTTGTCGATAAGAGCACTGCTGAGCTCCATGCTGCCCCCTTCTCACTAATGATCTGTGTAAACATGGTGCTAGCTGTTTCGTGGATCGCACTCGGGATTTTCCGGCAAGGCCTCTTGGTCATTAGAGTACCGTACATGAAGTGGAGTCCTT